ACAACACACTACTGTATAGTGGTGTGAGCGGTTAAAACAGGTGACCACTCCAGGTGGCCTTCGGCTCCTTTCAGGGAAAAAAAACAGCTCTTTAGCTCTTCCAGTACCATATCAATCACTAAGAGGGTTTTATTTCTTTAATTACATAAACAAAAACCCACTAGGCAGAGAAATAAGTGTTAATTTTTTTTTTTGTAGCTTTACTTTCTCTCTCTCTTTTTCTAACATAATAACTTTATAGCCAAAACTAACAGTATCTGACCAGGCTTATTTTTTAAGCTAGTACTAGAACTGGGACTTATTTGAGTTACTTTGTCATTTTTTATGTTTGCACATAGATTTCTTTCTTTTTCAAAAACAGGTCCACTTCACCCAGCTTAGCACCTCTACTTTCTTTTTTTAAATTTCACCCCTGATCCAAACATATTTGCATAAGCATACATATTACACAATCACACTTTACTTAGCTAATGGTAGCTAAAATAGTCATAAACTAGAACTTGTAAGGTTTTGTTGTATAGTATGAACTTAAAATATTTCATAGTACATCATAAAAACAAGAGATTGATAAACAAGTGTAAATCTAGACTGAGAGTTTCAGCATTTCCTTTGAATTCAGGAAAACGAGTAGATGAAAACAAATTACACCAGCAAAACTTTCGTACACACAGTTAAATAAAGCTTTTCAATGTCAACCTAACTTTAGTGGAGGTAGAATAAGCTCAAATTTATAGGGTCATGTGCTATAATGAATTATTGATTCTATAGGTTGCGATTAATTTATAAACTCATATGTAATTATAAAGAAATATAATATTTTGCATATTAGTTGTTCATTAAAAAAAAATCATGGATAGATTGCAGGTTAATCATATGGTAAAGACCCACAAATATGGTACTATAAACTATCGATTCCATGAGCAATAATTTGTCCAAAGGCAGTTTTAATCTGGAAACTTAAGAGATGTGTTATGTTAAGAATCATGAACTATAACTCACAAGCAGCGTTTAAGCAAAAGGGTCATTTGCAAACTTAGAGACTCCAGCATCAAGAGACAAATGCATTTGGTGTTCACGAACACCAATCAGTAGGTTCTTTTAAACTACTATCTAGACTCTGCTTGAGCTCAGTAACAGTGTGAAGGTGGTTAGCCTTCAGCAAGAACACCAGTATCTGACAGTGAATGTTTAGTAAAAAAATAGTGATCACTATCCAGGAACAAGTTCAGCCGGAAGAAGTGTTAATGTTTCAAAAGAAGATATCGGAAGACACATGCACAATACAGATTTTACGATGCTATACTAGTAAAGATTGTCTATTGTAATATCCAAGGTCAAAGATAGCCTGTATGAAGCTTGCTTATTTTTTAAATTTCTTGAAATAAGCTTAACATATATAGTAAGGATCACTGTTGCTTACCGTGATGAAAATGTTAAGTAAGTTCTCTAATGTTGGTAGCTGTGGGATAAGCTTCTGGACAACTTTGCTAAATGCTTCAAATATGGAGTGGTCATAAATGCTTGTCAAGTAGAAACTGAAATAAAAAACAGGATTTTAGAGAAAAACTAGTGATTAAACACTAAATATTTTCTTATCACAGCTAAAGGATGTTAATGGCATTCATATTTAATAGCAGAAACAAGCAAAAAGAAACTAAAGTAATATTAATGATATCATTACTTATATCAATTAATGATATCATAAAATATTCTAACGGATCTCCAATCACTAAAGAAATTACCATAAATACTAAATGGTTCTATGGTTATTATTTAATTTTTAATAACAAAAAAAGTTTCTGATGTGCTGAATATTTTTCAACACTATTTAAACTATAGACATAATTAGCATTTCTAGTTATTTTTAATTCTATTTTTAATCCTTTTTCATGCAAGGTGTGACAATAATAAAAATATTTTCCATTGAAAAAGAAAGAATGAAAAATTAATTTTAATATTAATAATCCAATAAAGAAAAAATATTACTTTAAAACACGTTTTAATGTGAATTCATGAAGAACTGTGCTCTGAATGCTCTTGTATATAAACGAACAAAACATACATAGGATTGGGGGTACGAAACGAACTAAATGTTACTGACTTCAGAACTCAGAAAATTTCTCGGAAGGAAAATATATCCCACAGATAGGAACAGAGAGGGAGGAAACTGTCAAAGGGAGCAAAACCAAGAAATGTTTTAAAATATATGTCACTGTAACTATATATATATGTCATTTTAACTACTTTTCTCTCCTAGTTTAAGTAGTTTTAAAAATTAGGTAACACTTTAAATTTATTATCAATGCTTTATTTCTTAATATTCAAATAAACATGAAACACAGCTGATGGATTTTGTTCTTATACCTAATACATAACTTTCATAAATTATAAAATTTATAGGGTCTACCTAAGCTGGTAAAACGGCACATTAAGTGTTACTGACATTTGAAAATGTGGATAAAACCTCCCTCAATTTTGAAGTTTACAAACCCATGATCAGTACTACCAGAGTTTTTTAATAACCAAGAAAACAAAACTAATTCTTTCAATTTTCATCATACTTAAGTCACATTGATCATTAATAAATCAGAACTGCATAATAACAACTTCAAAAACAGAAGACAGGCATATCTACTGCCTAACTTTAATGCAACTTCACCAAACACAGCCTCATAGTAGCTAGTTGTTTCATGGCAAGGAATGAGAATTTTAAGTTTTTATTTATTTATTTTTTTCAAATTTAAAACAGAGAACTTACTCTGAGAAACCAATTTCTGCATTTCTATCAATCTGTGTAAATGAAGATCACTAAAACGTATCCATTAATCATTATGATTAATGTTACATGGATACATCTATGAAATTTCGTTCTTATCAAATACAAAATAAAATCAACAGATGCTTTGATATATTATCAGTGTAATGTCTCACCTTAAGTGAACATTATCCAGTCCAGTATCTAGCAAGTCATCATTTGCTCTTTGGTTTATGTCCCTCTGTGTCTCAATCTTGTGGTCATCTGACAATCCATCAACTTTGTGGATGAAAACTTCAAAGCGTATCTCTGTGTTGACTTTATAGGCTCGGGAAACAGTCATATGAAGTTTGTTAAGAGCTTCCATATAATCGTCCTTCACATCCAAAAGGAAGGAAACTGTTTATAAGTACTATTTCGAACTGTTGTGCTCGATTATACACGTGTGCAAAATGTTACAAAGCTTCAGAATCACAAATACATTATATCTTTTTCTGGACAAAAACCTAGAGTTCAAATCACGGTATGCTAATAATTAAATAAAAATCACACTTAAGTAAAAATTCACAGAAATTATGCCGTACTAAAGTAACATCTATTTTAGCATAAAATACGTTAATTTTAAAAATCTTGTGATATACATGGAGCTCAGTTTATGTTCATAAATCTGAATTTATGAAGTTAATTTATATATGAAATCATATTTCTTTTCACCAGTATTATCCAAGTTAAACTAGACTGATATTGATTTAGTGTACAAGATGCACATCGTTCAGAGCAAAAAAAAGATCAGCTGCTTTCCACATCACACAAGAATCCATTATTAAAACAGAGGTAAATTCTGTGTCTGTTCATATCTAAGAACCTGTACTACTTGAAGTTTTAGGATAGTGCCTGTTGTTCTATGCTTTTATGATAGATATATTCATATAAATTTAACATGCAAAATTAGAAAAAAATACTCTGACAATGTATGATCAAAAATAATGATAAAAGACAAACAAAAGGATAAAATGTTCAGTTTGTCAAGCTAAGGAAAGTATATGTTGATCTTGAGTGTCAAATAATTTCAGAATTATATAATAATTTTGGTTTGTTTGTAATTAAGTACAAAGCTACACAATGGGCTATCTGTGGTCTGATTCTAGCGTCGTAAGTCCGCAGACGTGCCACTGGGGGGCAAGTTGGGTTGGATCAGTTAATGATAATATTTTGCTATAGGAATTTTTGGAATTCTGTTCCTATATACCTTTGGGAGACGATCATTTTATGATTTGAGATATTAATCCCTTCAAGTTTGTGTATTTGCATCTGTATAATCATAAAATATCCCTGTTAAACTTAAGCGAAATTGGAGATGTTAAAGCTGAAAGATAATGCAGTGTTAAAATGGATGGAATGACTGTGAAAAGTCTGTTATCCATCTTGCTAAGGTCTCAGTGAGCCCCAAAAAAATAATCATCATACTTTCCATATTATAATTTTCTAAATATTCTGTATATCTTCAGAAAATTTGGTAAACTTTCAGCAAGCATTACTAGTCATTTGTACACAGAAAACAGATTTTTTAATTAAGTAAATTTACTAAAAATATGTCCATCAGTATAGAGTGAGTGTTGATGGTTCCGAGTGTAAATTGGTTTTCATGTTAAAATTAAAAATACTTTTCTTCACCTGAAAATTGTAAACTTTCATATGCACAATCTCTAAAACCTCCTAAATAACTATTAAACTCTTTTCTTTCAGTAAAACTTTATATTTTATTCTTCGGTAAACTGTTTAGGCAGAATATTCATGATGAAACTCAGTTGAATGGCCAGCAACTGCCTGTTGTAGAAACGCACTTTATTTCTTGTTTTGCATGCGTATCCTATTTTTATAATTATAAAAGTGACTAAAATGTAAAAATTGAACAAACGTTTTGGGTTAGATAAAGTAAAATAAATAATAATATTAATAATTTTTTTATGAGGAATTCTCACAAGTAGTCTGTTATGTAATTCGATACTGTAATGTGACTTGCACATTTGCCACATGATTTGCAATTCATATGGCACGAATAGTAGTTAGACACAATTGAAAGGGCAATGTATACTGTATTAAAGATGTATACTGTTATTAGCTTTAAGCCACTTAGGGTAAACAATAAACTAAGTATAAATAGATGTATACTGTTATTAGCTTTAAGCTACTTAGGGTAAAGAATAAAACAAACATAAATAGATGTATACTGTTACTAGCTTTCAGCTACTTAGGATATACAATTGTGGTTTTCTGTTACATTTTACAGTCATTCCAGAAAGAAAATAGAGGAAATTTAGAATTATTTCCTAATTGTTTATAATGGTTACGACATCGGTCAAATCAACTGACATCATATAGAGTTAGGGTAAAGAAAATAACATAAAATAGTTTTTTCTGTAAAAAAGAAAACATTTGATATTCATTTAGGATGTTTTAGAGGTCATGCAAATGATATTTGAAAATTTTCAGATGAAGAAAAAGTATTTTTTAATCTTATCATGAAAATTACTTTGCACTCATAAAGGGAAACAACAAACAGTGTAAATTGTAAATAAAGTTTTTCATTGAACATTAACATGCTCTTTTCAATTTGCAGAAAGTAAACATGTAGTGTACTTTGTAAATCAAGTTTTTCATCAAACTTTAACATGCTCTTTTTAATTTGCAGAAAGTAAACGTGTAGTGTACATTGTAAATCAAGTTTTTCATCAAACTTTAACATGCTCTTTTTAATTTGCAGAAAGTAAACGTGTAGTGTACATTGTAAATCAAGTTTTTCATCAAACTTTAACAAGCTCTTTTAATTTGCAGAAAGTAAACGTGTAGTGTACATTGTAAATCAAGTTTTTCATCAAACTTTAACAAGCTCTTTTCAATTTGCAGAAAGTAAACGTGTAGTGTACATTGTAAATCAAGTTTTTCATCAAACTTTAACATGCTCTTTTTAATTTGCAGAAAGTAAACGTGTAGTGTACTTTGTAAATAAAGTTTTTCATTAACAATGAAGTGCTTTTTTTTAGTTTATTAAATTCTACCTACGAGACCCTTCACTGTGGGACCCTTGTGAGAACCCTGAACTTACATTAAATTCCGTACTTCTCAGAGGGGTGATAAATTAGTAAAGAGGAAAAACCTACAGAACAAATCTCGACTACGGAAGATTGAAGAATTTTTTAAAATATTTCCTTATAAAATTAAGAACTTAAAACTAACATAATATTAAAATTTGATTCATTAACTATGTTTTCACGCCAAGTTTATTCATATACAACAATAATAAATTAACTAATTATTAAATTTTGAATGTAATTCTCTAAAAAGTCATGACATCCACACTTTGACCTACCCATAGCAAGAGGGTTAATGCACAAAAATATTTCTTCTTGACCAGTAAATATGAAAATTTTCTATTCCCCTTCTAGAAACAAGTTAAAAATAACTCAAACAAAAATACAGTTCGTATAAACTACGTAAAAAGAAAGAAATAGCCAATGAAAACAAAGTATTTGTGTAAAGTCTGTCAAATTTAGTAGTCAATAACTAATTGTTTAAAACTTGGTGATTATGATTCATTCACTTCAACATAGGAGGTACAGTAAGCCACCTTTCAAACAAATGTAATGGGATTAGTCACCAGTTGCAGATTTTGCATAGATTAGTTAGGCCTAAGAAAAAAACAAAACAAAAAACACCATGCTCCAATACTGTATTTGAAACTGAATGGTGCCGATTGTAAAGAAAACACTCATTTGTTAAACACAATATTAAACAGTAGTAAGAAAGCCTGCCCCTGAATATTTCCTGGCAGGTGTTTACTTACAGAAGACTTGGCAATGTTAAAGTAATTTAATAGTACAAGCTCCTTACTTGAGCATCAATTACAAACACTAAAGCTCCACATCCACCAAAGATAACCTCAGAGTCAAATGTGGGGTCAAAAAAATCAATCTGTCCAGGGAAATCCCAAATTTGAAACTGGACAAATGAACTATTGGAAATATCTGAAATAGAAACAAAAAAAGATAAAAATGAAAAAGATAAAGTAATTATCTATAGCATTCAGTTATTAAATAAAATAAAGAATTTCAGAACTTAAAAATGTAACAGATGTAGTGAATGATAGAAAACAAGTCACTAAATTTATCAGTAAAAACACTCACAGTTATGACTGGTCTAGCTTTAGTACAATACACACAAAAATTGGAATTTAAGCTGCAAATTTCTTATATACAGTAAAAACATTCGCAGTTATGACTGGTCTAGCTTTAGTACAATACACACAAAAATTGGAATTTAAGCTGCAAATTTCTTATATACAGTAAAAACATTCACAGTTATGACTGGTCTAGCTTTAGTACAATACACACAAAAATTGGAATTTAAGCTGCAAATTTCTTATATACAGTATAAACACTCGCAATTATGACTAGTCTAGCTTTAGTACAATACACACAAAACTTGGAATTTAAACTGCAAATTTCTTACATACAGTAAAAACACTTATACAGAATGTACAACCTTTGAAATAAGGTTTCCATCATCTAGGTAACAGATGTTGCTGTTCATAATATTTTGCTGCTTGAAAACTATTTTTGATTGATAGCAAATACAACTCTTTCATTAAAATATCTTTAACAAAAAATTTACATAATTTTCATAATATTTGTCAAATTCCAGCAAACAATCTATACAAGACTAAACCATGTATACAAGGCTGCGGGAAGAGATAAAGTTTTAATTGCTAATTTTTGTTGCGTTCTAACTCAGTGGCTTCTTTTTTCCAACTGAAGACCAGCTTGTTCTGATACCCAAATTTTATGGACTACTTCATAGAATATTAACTCTCTAAAGTACTTTAAATTGAATTGTTAAACATTATGTTTTTTTTCAATCATATTGCAGACCAGGTGAAATCTACATGGAACAGCATTGGTCCAAGGACTAGCAGTTAGGAGTCAATGATACCAGTCTGGAAGTTACATTCACTGCTACATGGAACAGCATTGGTCCAAGGACCAGCAGTTAGGAGCCAATGATACTAGTCTGGAAGTTACATTCACTGCTACATGGAACAGCATTGGTCCAAGGACCAGCAGTTAGGGGCCAATGATACCAGTCTGGAAGTTACATTCACTGCTACATGGAACAGCATTGGTCCAAGGGCCAGCAGTTAGGAGCTAATGATACCAGTCTGGAAGTTACATTCACTATTTCTAAATGAGGTTAAATATTTTATGTGTTTAGAAAAACTACTTATTAAATCCAAACCATATTTCACATTATGAAAAAAACCTTGAAAATATAGTGACATATTATCTAATTATTTACAATATACAGTAGTTCATTTTCAGTCAGAGCTATGAGCATATACACACTGTGTGAATATAAAAACATTCTTTGAGTTACTATGACTACTAAACTAACAGTTTCATCTAGGCTTTCAGGTATCAGCTCCATTTTCAAACATTGTTAGTTTTTCACCCAACATAAAAGAACAATGGTGAAAAATAAGCTGCAAGTAAGCCAACTGCAATCATTACACAAAACACTTTTCAAAACTAAAAGATTTCACTCGTATTTTAATTAAAATTTTTTGTGATAAATAAATTAAGTTATACCTCTCTTGCATGAATAAGTTATAACCTTTTGTGAAAACAATTAAAAATCTTCTTTCAGACTTACAATAAAAGCTTGTAGATATTATATCCTCTATTGTGTTTATCAAGGTTAAAAACAATTGGGTTATATTCCAGTCTTTTCCAGTTCAAGCAACAGGAAAAATATCAACTTTACCAGAATAAAATACAAAATTATCTCAACTGTATTTTCCACAAACAATAAGCCACAGAAAACACAAAAAATCTACTTTGTACATGTTTTTAATATAACTCTTAATAGTCATGCTTCAATAAAAGTTTTTTTTTTTTTCCAAAAATAAAAACATACCATCTTTGATGATTTTGTTTGTGCTTTCCAAAAACAGTGTTTCATTTGGAGACATTTTGTGAAACACCACTTTCTGTATTGATGACTTTCCACTCCTGAAAAATCAAGTCACATAAATAAATTAGTGACGTGAAATATATTTTGTTGGTACTTACCATGTAAACTTGAAGTTTTTCTCAAAACACATTTAAAATTAATATTGGTTAATGATCCTTGAATATGTCTGTTCAGTTCTGCACTGCTTATAATTGAAGATTATTGATTTTCTACAAAAAAAAGTTTTGACAACAACAAAAGAAAAGGCTCTTTAAATAATTTTTATATATTTCATTTATTTAAATCTTTTATATTTTTTTTTCAAGGATGTCAATTTTTATCTGCATGAGCGAGATGATTGAAAGGGTGTAGACTCGATACTTGCAGATTTCCAAAAAGCTTTTGATAAGTTCCCAAACAAATGATTAGCTAAACAAATAACATCAGTATGGGTTGAGAAAAGACTAATCAATTGGATTGTATGGTGGTTGGAGGGGAGAAAGAAAAGGTTATTAATTGAGTCCAGTACCAGTGGTATCTTGTTACCATCAGTGTGTCTCAGGGTTCAATGCTTATGCCTCTGTTTTTTTCTTCATTACATTAATGATATTGAAGAAGGCATATTTAGTAAGTTAGTAAAGATTTGATGTCATTAGAACTCTTAGGCATTTCTAGCTGTATTAGACGAAAGACTTGTTTCAAATACTAAGTTGGACAAATATTTAGCAACTTACCTTAAATTATAATAAGTGCCAAGTAATACACCTTTATTATAATTTGGATCACATATTTATTCTAATATATATTTATTCTCAAACTACCAAAGCAATGTACTGTTCCTAACAGTAAACCTAACAGAAGTTAGGGTTTTATTTATATATATTGGTGTACTTTGGTG